CACATCACATAGCCTGCCAAACAGCATTCAGGCACCACGGATCTGGGGTGGAAGTGAACTGGAGACTGAAGCTAGAAAGCTCCACTTCTACCACCCATTCCCATCGAATCCTCCACCTTAAATCCTGTAAGTGTGTGTGTGTATCTTTAAGTTCAGCTTTGTTCCAAAAAATGGAACCTGCAACTGCAGAAATCACCCACAAGATGGCGCCAGACCTACAGCACTATATCAGCGCTGGCCAGGCGTTCAACACATCCTGTCCTCATGCCTTTTGGAAACTTATCCCGGAGCCTCATCTACTTATTTATTTATTTTTCTACTAATAAAACCTGATCGAAATTTTTATACAATGTTAGAGGTTTTTTTTCTTTTTGTCTGTACAAATCTAGGGAATTTTTGTTTGTTTGCTGTTATATTATAAAAAGCAAATAATCTTAAACCTCAAACAAACCCTCAATTCCATTTCCCCTATTTTTGTCAAGTTCCTAGAACGTCCTGACCACACCTCGAGAAATTAATATTGAACAAAGAAGTAACAAGCACAGTTTAAATACACAAGTTACAGTGTTTTCTAAAAGTTGTTTCTAAATGAAGAGGCTATTAAGGCCATTTTTATGGGCCATTTTTATGGAAATTTAAAGAGGGAGGGGTTATTGTGCAGGCTCCTGGTGAAAACATCAAAGCACATGCTCGATTTCTTTGCTTCTGGTCCTGTCTGTAAAGAGTGGTTACTTTAAGATTAATCATTTGATCTCCAGTAATCGTGTGTCTCCCATGTGTCTCCCATTTCCTTATATCAAAAAGGAATGTGCTGGGATTTGACTTGCTATAAGATGCCAAAAAAGCTACAAAGGTTCAAGACCCAAGAAAAATGGAATTAGGCGGATGAACAGAATTATCTGGAATAACAAAAATGTGACAGGGAACAGACAAGTGAGCACTGACTTCCCTTCATCCCCCACGATTATTACTACAGAGTGTTGCCTGAATTTTGAACCTTGTCAAAAGGTATTTAGTCACTTTCAGATTAAATTCGATGACAGGTCAACAGCAGATAGATAGTAAACAGCAGACTATCAGGTTTCATTCTCAGATCCACAAGCAATCACTAGATAAATAAGCATTAAACCTACACTGTAGTTAGTTTTTCCCAGTCCTGACAAAGTGAAGATGAACACAACCATTGCAAACAATTGTACACAGTTGCGAAGCACTGCTTAAAAAAAATGGAATGCCAGGCCCTCCCTGGTGGCCCGACAGGTTAGGATGCTGCTAGTACTACAAGTTTGCTGCAGCCGCTACAGTGTGAGTTCGATCCTTGGCCTGGGAGGTGACCACATGGTGTGGCAGACCTCTCCTGACCCACCTGCTACTCCCCTCAGCAGTGTACTTCGTCGATCTGCCTGTTTTGCTCCCCACTGTCTCTGGTGAAGCCTCTCACTGACCCTGTACCTCTGGCCTGCAACCCAGTTCTGTATGGATAATTTTAAAACTCTTACATTTAAAAAAAAAAAAAAAAAAGGAATGCCAGACAGAGTGACAGAGTAGGACTCCAAGCTCCTAGAAAGGAGAAGCACTTGAGGAGGGCTGACCAGCGCCAAGGCTCTCAGGTGCAGCATGGGCCCACGTGGAGCATCTGGTCACTGTGCTTAGGGAACAGATGTTGGTAGGGGGCTGGCCGAGATGGTTGAAGTTCAGCTGTGAAATGGAGACCAGGAAGACACACAGAATCCACACACAGGCATCCATAGGAGTGATGGGTGGAATCAAGATTCTGAGATTGTCCAAAACAGGGAAGACAGAATTTTGACCAAAGAGTAGGGCATTGGCTGGATGCTCCAGTCATTACCTGGAGGCCACATCTCAAAGGAAGGCTACTGAAGACAGCAGACAGGCCGTAAGATGGCTTAACAGTGAGCCTTGAAACAGAGACCTGATTGGCTCAATTATCTACCTGCCTACATAAGGCTTAATATTCCTGCAAGAAGTTTGGTTGTTGGGAGGATGAAGCATCTGAGCGACCGCAGGGGCACAAAAGTTGAGAGGAAACCAACAAAACCTACGCTTTTAATAATCTAGGCTCCACCACAGTTAGCGTGTGACAAAATCACTAGGCACTTGAAGAAGTACAGAACTAGAGCATAAAAACTGGATTTCATTCAGCAGGCAGTGAGGACTCTAGGGCTTTGTACAACAGAGCGACATATCCAGATCAGTGCGTTAGAGAGACAATTCCAGAGTCACACAGAGGACAGCTTCGACGGGTGGTGGCGGGAAAAGAGGCTGCTTCAGTCACCAGACAGAGAGCTACGAAGGGCTCCACAGTGGCACAGGAGGTAGGAGGACGCTGCATGGCAGGACTGTCATGCTCAGTGATCTATGGGATGTACAAGGTGACAGAGAGGACAGGCTGGAGACTCTAGAGGAACATAAGTGCTTCTGTTTAAAGGACTCTGGGGTAGAAATTCCATCGGCATTATGAAGTAGGAATATGGGGTCACTGGGAGGTCTGGGTCAGAGTGCAGAATAAATTATTCTGTATATTTAAAAATAAAAAAGCATAACAGGTCCTGGAAGCCACAGGGGTGAATGACGACGTGGAAGACAGGGGCGAAGAGAAGGACCTAAGCGACTGGCATGGAAGGAGGGCCCAAGGCGGAAAGCAGGATAGAGGCTTAAGGAAAAAGGGCCATCCTCTGCCCCTCCCCCAAAGCCTGCTCTCACAGGGGAACAGGGCCGCCAATTCAGCTCTGATAAACACAGACAGCTGCAGCCCCACCTCTGCCATTCTCTTCTTGGCATTCCAGGTGTGGCATGTCACCGTAAGAAAGATAACAAATATCTCTAAGGATATTCTTTATTCCCTTAAAGAGTAAAAGAGTTAAATAGAAAAAAGAAATAAGAATCAAAAGGGAATTATGTGGCTATTTTCTAGTCTGTTCAAATACCTGACGTGAGGTGGTGGGATGAGAGAAGACAGCTGAAACGAGACAAAGGGCCACTCACTCCCCACAGCCCTGCAATAGTAGACCAAGGGCTTGGCCAAGGCCACAGCACCCTTCTCCATCTCTCCTCTGCCTCCCTCTACAGTCTAAAGCACCTCTGCCCTCCTCCCTCTCAAGGCACAGAGACACCCCTGCAAAACAGCCACACGGCGTTGACAGTCGTGTGCCCCGCTCCTGCCCTCGTGTTCACTCACTGCATTGCTCACCGATGGGACAACTAAAATCGCCAGACATGGGATTCATCTTTTTGCTTCTTCTCTTCCACACGGGAATTTAAATGCCTCAACTGCAAGGCCTTGATCTTATTCTGGCTTTTTCCAGTGCCCGTTGTTATGCGACAGGACTTCGCAGAAGACTTGTATGAAATCTGTAGACACCTGAGCCCCTGTCGGTTCTCTCACAGGTAAAGTGGGGATTGCTGTCCACCCTGCTGTCTGCTCTTCCCATGGTGACATTCAGTAAGTTATGTCAGTGTGCCTAAGGGGAGCTTGTAAATCCCTAAACAGTGGGGACCGAGGGAGAGGTGTTTCCTGACTCGATGAAAAGAAGCCCTGGTGGTGATACACACACATCACTAATGTGACCCAAAATGACTGTTTAGGTCATAGTTGCTGGTTCCATTTTTCTTTATAATGGAAAATATGGGGCCCTCCCTGGTGACACAAAGAGTTAAAGCACAGCACAGCACTATGAAGCTAGCCGCTGGCCACTTCAGCATGAGTTTGATTCCCGGCCAGGGAGCTGACCCACATAATGCAACACACCTCTCCTGACCCGCCCGCTGCTCCCCTCAGCAGTGTACTTCGTCAATCTGCCTGTTCTGCTCCCCACTCTGTGAAGTCTCTCACCCACCACACCTCTGGCCTGTACCCCATTTCTATATGCATAAATAAATAAATCTAAATATATATATATATATATATATATATATATATATGTATATATGAGAAATACTTCTCCAAGTATACAAGAGCTAAATACCTGAAGAAATCTAACCAGGATTGGATTCTTCAGGAGTCAAAAAGACCATAGACCCACTTCCTGACTTATAAACCACAGAAACAACTGAGCCTTTGAAAGTTTTCCAATAAAGAAAGATTAAGACTACATTCAACGGTCTGAAATGTGTCTGCCCGCAATAATAATACATCTGCTCAACTCCTAATCCTGAGCACCTCAGAATGTGGTTGAATTTGGAAATAGGGTCATGAATTCAGTTAAAATGAAGTCCTACTCCAATATGAATGGTGGCCTGGTAAAAAGAGGAAATTAAATCTATACTTTCAATAATCCATGAAAGTCCGTCCCAGAGGAAAATACACTAAGAATGTACACACAAAGCCTAGGGAGATTTCGGGCTCCCCCTGAGCCTATATCTTTTTTATTTTTTAAGAATTATTTCTTTATGCTTACAGAACTAGGGTACAGGCCAGAGATGTGGTGGGTGAGAGGATTCACCAGAGACAGTGGGGAGCAAAACAGGCAGATCTACTGAAATACACTGAGGAGGGGAGCAGCGGGAGGGTCAGGAGTGGTCTGCCACGCCATGTGGGTCAGCAACCTGGCCGGGGATCAAACTTGTGCTGCAGTGGCTTCTGAGAGCTTCACAATGCAGTGCTTTAACCCCTTGCACCACCAGGGAGAGCCACAAGAGCCTGTATCTTAAAGGATGCAAACTCTGAGAGGCCCAAACCTGGGTTTCAAAATTCTAATAAGTGCTAAATGCCAGTTGACTCTGCCTAATGCCACGGACCACCTTACGTGGCTCTATTTGTAAGCTGTGAATCCAGCACCCCCTCCACTGGATCACCAACTGGCTCCATAGCACTGGTAGGGCCTCATGTCAAACACAACAGAAGGCATCACCTGAATCTTGCACAACCTCCTGAAGGCCACACATTTAAGGCTGATCGCAGTGTAGGTCGAATGTATAAAATATAGATGCAAATTCAGTTTAAAGATCAGTAAATATCTAGAGGCTAGAACTGGACTCACAAAATCTGTCTCAAGTTTTGCCATTTCTTGCTTGTAGCTTCTCATCCTGTGACTGTACATCCCTCGGCTCTGGGGAGGGATCTCTCGGACTTCCAAATCCATTTGTTCCAACTGAGAGAGTGAGAGAAAACATGAGTGAAACCATGAGCTTATTCTTATTTGACCAGAAGTACAGAGCTTAACGGATTCAATTCCAAGGCCTCATTTTTCAGTAGGAACCAGCCCAAGGAGCTAAATGCCCATAAAATAACATTGGGACCACTTTTCTGTACCATGTGTTCAGGGCAGCAAATAGCTACTGAGTGCCTGGCACCTGGCACGCAGATGTAAAAGTACTTGCCATGATCAGGAGTTCTGCGGAATCAGACACCTTAACCCAAACAGCGTCAAGAGGAATGACCTTCGTAACCTCACATATCCCATTGTACAGTTCATCCTGCCCTGGTCTTTTGATCACAAACCACCAGGGTGATGGGAAGAGAAACCAAGCCAATATTTCTACCATTACATCATGAATGTCAGCCAAGGCTTCGTGACTTGGTGAAAATTCTCCTGGAAAGTCTTTTCTGATTAGGAAAATCACATACCAACAGATAAGGAACCTTGCCCTCGCCTGATTCCTGGTACTTTATAACCAGACATAAAGTCAAACAGATAAACAGAACTATGGTAAATCACACCACCCCCACTGAGGTCACAGCAGGATGCTCTTTCCCATGCTGCTGTTACCGAACACTTTGGACACAACCAAGCAGGTGGTTCAAGCCACAGGCGTTCGAGTTGGACATGATGTCACACTGCGGATGCCACTGCTTACTAGTCCTGCATCTTGGGCAGGTTTCTTAACCCTCCAGGCCTTACTTTCCTTATTTCTAATACTTTATATTGTAGGGCAGCTGTGAAGATTGCATGAGCTAACTACCATCATGTGCTCAGAGTGGTGTCTCTTATTGGCAGTCACTAGATAAATGGCATCACTAGATGATGGGGAAGAAACACAGTGATCATGATACGAAGCACCAGAGGTTACTTATTTATACCTGGCATTAAAATAAAAAATAACTGCGACACCAAACTGGCTGAGGCCGTATTTTGCAAACTCACATTTAAAAATGATGCTATGTCTGGCATCTTTTAAAGCATCCTAATAATTTCTCCCTAATAAATCTGATGTGTCCAATGTCAGAGAGTAACAAGGACACAAGTAAATAAGAAAACCACATTTTAATTCACACACGTCTATTAATAAATGGAAAGACAGGCTGAATTAGCGTTGAATTAGACAATGACCGTTTAAATGATCGATGTCTCCATTAAAATGTGAAGTGCCAATAACTTAAAATAGTTACACTGTAAGGGAGTCACGTAAGGCACTTCTCTGAAATCATCACAAAGTACTTCAGTCTAACAAGGTGAAAAGGATCATCCAGACAAATAACTGCAAAAGTACATGCAAATGAAAATCTAAGAGTAGGTGCATTTCTATTTTAGGCTTTTCACAAAGGCACTCAAAACTAAATTAAAAATAGTCAATAACGAAAAAAGGAAACACTCAACAATCACTTGAAGTGAAATCAGCCTTGTGCCCACTCTGCACTTATGTCCTGCTGCCACTACAGGCTGACAGGGACACAGCAACGACAGGAGTGGGATGTCCAGGAGATCCACACGGACCTTCATCCAGCAGAAATGCAGTAACTCCCAGTAAGTCAAAGCAAAAGTTTTTGTCCCAAGTTCCTCATCAAAGGGGCGAAAATTTAATAAGCAGTGTCCTTTCCGAGGATGTTGTCAGAGTTAAGTAAATCAGCTTTGATTGACATTTCAAACAAACACCGATATACATCTTAGACAAAATGCTCCAAACTAACAGCTAAAGATGACTACAAACTCCAAGACCGTACAACTGTTAGGGGGAAGAATGCCTGAAGGAACACCACAGGTTGTGGACTCTACCCCACTCCTGACCAAAGCCATCAGGACACTACAAATCCCATCATCAGCAAGGGGAGGGCTGCTGGTTCCTGAGGGTGGAGTTAGGCAGCCAGGCTTGGTATAAAACCAGACATGTGGGCTTTGGAGGGGGCTGGCTCCTCCTGCTCCTCTGGATCTTGGCTTTCACTGGCTCTCAGGGTGCTGTGGGGATTCCAGGTTGGGGAACCATCCTCTCTTTCTCCCAGCAATTCATTTCCTCATTTTCCCTGTAACCTTTTTGTGTATGCCTGCAGTCGAATATTATTATAAGTCACTTTAAGCGCACAGGTGAGGACCCACAATCAGGCAATCCATTTCATATCGGGGGTGCCCTGTAACAGAGCTACTAACTTCTCATCAATTTGGAAACAGATGAATTCCAAATTATAAAATGCTAATCAGTAAAGTTTCACATTCCTACAATGAAGACAGCAGTTAAATGACCCGGGCTGAGTTAAACTATATCACTAAGTCTGTACATACCAGTTCTTTTGCTTCTTCAAGCTGTTTCTCCACATTTGCAACCATCTGCTTCTTCTCATCTGAAAGGAAAACAACATTAAGGAATTGCTAAGAGTATAAGTAAATTTAATATTTTAAAAGTTGTATATGTATACATCTTCTTTTCTGGAAATCAGATCAGAGAATTATCATGTCAGGTAAATGACCATGATTCTTTGATAAATTAGGAACCATGTTAAGTCACGAGTTCCAGATTATCTGAAAATACAACATCCTGTGGAACACCTAGTTATAAAGAGATGCCATGATCTTTTTAAAAGCAACCAAACCAATTATGTCAGGGAGAGCAGATTTAGAGGTGGTTTGGGGAAAACCATAAAATTACAACTCTAACAAGGTGGTCACACCTGATTATTAAAACTTAAACATCACACACAAAAACCATTCCTAAAACTGGCAAAATCTAACATTCCTTTAACGGTTGTACATTTGTTAACATTAAGACCTGGGTTGAATGGCAGAAATATTTAGTGTCAGGACTACTGATTCCAAACCCAAAGTCCTGATCTACTTACTGGCTGGTTAAAGAATCCTAGTAAGAAACAGTATTTTGAGGTTTAGTCTGTTTTCTCAAAATATCTACTTGATTCTTTTTATTTCATACAGGCTGTTGCAGGTGAAATTACTGTTAAATTGTGAAGCGCTATGTCTCTGATTGTGGCTTATCGAAACACGACCACAATCAAGTTATATCCCTTTTCTGAGAGAGTCACATTGTGGCATTCCAAATGAATCAGCCCATTTGGTCACACTGTACCTAAGTTTTGTGCTACCAGATTTACTGGACATTCATATTTCATCTACCAAACATTCTTCTTAGGCAACAGTCCCTACTCTTTTCGATTCTGTCTTCACCAAGCAGGTCAATGGATGATGCTATCTCCTATGCTCCTGCCTCTTGGTCACCAGGAGTTAGCAAAGGTGGAACATCTAATGCTGGGACAATCTTCAAAGCTTAATCCCTCTAGCCTTTGTCTGGGGTTTGGAATGGGGTGGGCACATGACCTAAGAGGTCCAATCAAAGCCTTGGAGCAATGGGAAAGTCTTTTCCTTCCCCTTGGTCTGAAGAGGAGACTAGAAGCCATTGGCGGCCATTGCCTAAGCTATCAAGAAGAAGCCATTTAATAACAGGCATATGCATAGTTTCTGAAACAGGTTTAGTTTAACTTTATCATGGTTTGTTTTCTTGAACTTGTTGAAATTTCTTTTTCTTTATTTCAAGTTGGGTTTCTGTGATATAGACTCTAAGAGCGATGTAGGCGCTAGACAACTGACTGGAAAAGGCTTGAAGTTTAAAATGGGCCAGGCACCTGACAGTATACCAGCTCTTCAAAAGAATGGTCAACACTAAGTAGGCAGTCTTTAGTGGAAATTATTTTACTAGAACAGTAACTAGGTTCTCCTAGTTCTAAGCACTTTCCCTTTGATCCACTCAAGGGGGCTAGCTATCACCTAAGATGTTTTGTGTGTATTTTAAATATTTCTCCTAAAGAAATATACACATTTGGAATCAAAATAGTTAAACCCACATATGGTCAGATTAGAAATTCAGTATATAATCGAGTCTATTTGTTTTTGGCACATCAATTCATGTATCATCTCCATATTGTTACAACAGAATCACCGTGTATTCTGGTGGCAGAACAGAATATGAAATAAACCCTTCTAGGACCAGGAGCAAGATAATACATTCACATGTAGGAAGGAACATTCTTCTTTTAGGTACTCAGTTGTCAGGAACATCCCTAGCAAGGACCTCCAGGACCAGTTTAAAAAAAAAAACAACAAAGGACTTCTTTAAGATCTGTCCTCAGCTATGTTACTAATATTGGGGAGACAGGATGCCCTGAACGACTCCACTCCCTCACCAGACCAAAGAGACCCAAGACACCAAGAACTACAAATCCCATAATGTATTATCACTAAAGAGCAGCCAGGTTTGGTATACAACCAGATATGTATGCCTTGGTGGGGGGGGGGGGCGAGGGGGGAAGTCTTGGCTCCTGTTTTTTTTTTTTTGCCAGCACTCACTGTGCTATTGGGATCCCAGCTTAGCAGAACTGGTAGGACACATTCACAAATTTATCTCCTTCTTTCTCCAAGTTATTCATTTGTTCATTTTCCCTTCTTTTGAAAATAAACACTTAACCTTTTTGTGTGTGTCTGCACTTGAGTCTTGCTATAAGTCCCTTAGCAGAGGGATCAATGGGAACATGCAGAGGCATTCTGAGCACATGACAATATGTACCTTTGCTGTGATGGGATGAAATGGTGCTTACTTGGTCTTTTCCCCAAAAAATCTATGAACCCTAGTTTGGTCACAAGAAAAACAATGGGTAAATTCCAATTGAGAAATATTCTATAAAATACTGGTCCAGTATTACTCTTCACTTTAAAGTTGTTAAGAATAACAAGAGAAGTCTATGGAGAAGTGACAATAATTATTTGATGATATCACAGGTGAGATCCTAGAATAGTAAATAGGCATCAATTCCAAAAAACCAAGGAAATCTGAAAAAAGTACAACTTCAGTTCATAATAATGTACCAGTATGGATTCACCTACATGTGCCAAATTAACATAATAAAATAGAGAAAAATGGCCTGGGAATACAAAAATTGTTTTATTTTTCTGGGTTTTCTTAAAATTTCTTATAAGGTTTATTTATTTATGCATACAGAACTGGGGTACAGGCCAGAGGTGTGGGGTCGGGCTGAGAGGATTCACCAGAGACAGAGTGGGGAGCAGAACAGGCAGATTAACGAAGTACACTGCTGAGGGAAGCAGCAGATGAGACAGGAGAGACCTGCTGTGCCATGTGGGTCTGCTCCCTGGCTGGGGAATGAACTCATGCTGAAGCAGCTGCAGCTAGCTTTGTAGAGCAGTGCTTTAATCCGCTGTGCCACCAGGGAGGACCTATCTGTATGGGTTTTTAATAAAGCCAAACCTATACTAAAATTATAAGCTTATTTGGAAAACCAATAAAATCATTATTTTAGGGAACTCAATAGTTGAAGGAAGAGTGGACCACTGGAAGTAGTGTATGGGCTGGTTGTGTTTACCCAACTCAAGTCTTAGCCATTCTACTTCAACTCTCTCTTCACTTTGAGAGTTCCTGAGTTAGAACCATCCCTTCAACTCTAACTTTCCAGAACACAAGAAATGTAATGAAAATTATATATGTCATTTGAAATAATATAGTAGCCACATTTGGAAAAGAAACAAGTGAGATTAGTTTTAGTAAATTTTAGTGCTGATATTTAACTTGATGTATCCAAAGTAGTATCATCTCACTATGTAACAATAACCCTATTTCAAGTGTCCAGAAGCTATGTATGGATATTACAGCTCCAGAGTCCCATTATTTTTTAAGCAAACCACAGTACTCATAAATAAAAGCAGACTTCTGAATTCTCTCACTACAACTACTTCGCAAAGCACAGCACCACCTTTCTGCCTTCTTCCCAGGCTATGTCTAAATGGTTTTCAAAGCCTCCGGGGGTTGGCATGACTAATCTGCTAGGCTCCAGCATCTCCTTCCATGAAGGCCACTATTGTCCCGTCATTTCCACTTCTCTCCTTCCTGAAGGAACCGAGTTCAAAGCCAGACTCCAAGTTCATTTCCTTAAGTTGCTCATCTTCCACCTCCCTTCAAATGTAGGTGTATGCCTGGGCACAGAGGGGAAGCAAGAAATGAGGCCCCAGGTTTCCTTAAGAGTCCAGTGAATATCACAGTCTGAGAAGCTGGTCCTGATTCACTCTGCCAATGGTTGTCTTCAGCAGCAGCAACAATATCACTAATGGCTAATTCATTGTGTACTTTGGGGGGAATATGTGCTAGCTGGATGTTTTATTTCCTTTGAATTCGATAGCATGAAATCCCCTCCAATTTTATAAATGGAAGAGGCAGGCTTAGTGAAGCCAAACAATTTGCCCAAGATTATACTTCTATTATACAGCAGAGTTGAGATTCCAAACAGATTTGATGCTGTCTGAATCGTGACCCATGCGCCCTAATTCTGTTCTTGGCATTTCTGACTATAGCCAGAGAGTAAAAGGATTCACAATGGAGCATTTCTATCTCTCTGAATGGTGAGGGAAGCAACAAATTGCCGGAGAATATTTTGATAAAGATACTTCAGGAAGACTGCTTGATGGAATCCAACCACTGTACCTGTAAAGTATCCCCCTAGGTAGATTTATCACCAGAGGAAAGGGAACTTCACAATTCATATGAAGAGGCTCTCACTGATCCATTTTTCTGACCACATAGAACAATAATCCCTTAAATTAAATTTCAAAGACCATGCCTTTAGAGTATTAACTAAGAAGGAACTGACCCCCCTCATTAGGCCAATTACTAAAATTAGCTTAACATTCAAACACTTTAGTCTAAGAACAAAATCTTTTTATTGTTTACAATGTATCACAATTATTAAATTGCTTTTTAAAAATAACAATCTTTTCTTTGAGGAAGAAACACTACTCAGTGAATCCTACCCACTCAATTTTAATTTAAATAACATTGAAGAATAAACCACTTGGGCTGGAAAATGTCTCTTAATTTTACCCAATACAAGTCAATTATAACTCATCTTCTTTGGGTCGACCTCTGATGATGACCAGAGAAATGGATTGTAATTACATTTAATCACAGTGTTTGTGCCACGGTTGTACATATTAATTTCTATTAGTACACACACATCCATCTGAAATGCACACATTTCACCATATAAAATGAAATGTACATGGTGGTACTTTTCATTTTTTTTCCTACTTATCAAATGGAAATACATTACAAAGTGAACAAGTACATGGGATTATAGAGAAACCATTGCATTTTTTAAGAATTACCATTATTTAATTATTAAAATCAGTAGCATTTTTCCACTATCAGCTATACAGACTCCTTTAATTCTATGGTGGCTTACTATATTTGAGTCTCACATGATGTATAGCTAAGGGAAATCAAAGGGCTTTATTTAAAAAAAAAAACAAATCAAAGGTTTCCTGCCATTTGGTTAGAATGGTAACATTATAAAGGCAAGAGAAAAAATCAATTGTAACAAAATCTGTATTCTTGGAAATAGTTTTTACCACTTTGTACCAGGGGATGATTTCATTACTTCACAAGACAGCTTCCTGATACAAAAGCTATTAGCCTAAACAAACAAACAAAATGTTTCTATTGTTAAAGCTCTGATAATTACAAATGAACAAAAATCCAACTGAAACCACAAGTCTTGATATTCTGAGGCTCTGGGACTGAAGTCAAGGAAGTTGTCTCCAACAATAATGGCAATAAAATCAAGATGATCTCAGCAGAAAAGCAGAACTGAAGAGAAGAGGCAAGGTGATGGATTAGGAAGTGATGAGCCAACAGCCACTTTCGCCACAAAAAATCTCCAAGGCAGCAGAGCTCGGTGGTACAGGCTACCTTGGTCCTCTCCTCTTGTTCCCTCACTTGGACTCATAAACCTCTTTAAGACATCATTCACCTCTTCCAGAACTAACTGGGACTTCAGAAGATGGGTGGGGTTTAAGTTCAGAGATCCTGGCTTCAAGCAAATATCCCTATTAACAGAAAATAGGTGAGGGGAAGAAAAACAAATAAGGAAGACAATTATTTATAAACACACAAGTTGCAGGGCAGGCAGAGAAAAAGGAATAACAACTTAGCTCCAGGTGAAATTACTCGCAAGGATGGACTCACGAGGTGGGATAGTGAAGTTGCCCAGCAGCTCACAGTTGATGAAAGATCCCCTCTTTCTAAATTTTACATCCCAGGGCTAAAACACGGTCTCGCTGTTAGTAGCTGGGTGATAGTTGCAAAATTGTTAGGGCAATTTCCCTAACAAGATTATGCCAGAAAGTAACAATCTTATCTGCAACTAACTACTCAAGTTAAACCTGTATTTAGAGAAAGGTAAATCCTAAGAGGATATCTTACAAACAAAAATTACCAAATAACATATTTCTGCATCTGTTCTCTCAGCTAAACACTTTTGTTTCTGGGCCCAACTTAGACCCCCCTTCACAAAGTCGACAGTCTTGCATGAAGTAAGATGTACTGAAACACCAAAACAAAGGAAAACACTTCTAGGTGGGACTCATGGAATTTTAAAAGGGAGAACAGTTAGATCTACATAAAAGATCTACACAAAATTGGGTGATAGGCTCCCGAGAAGGATGAGAGACAAAAATAGGGTTGGAGGTATGAAAAATACTAATGACAATAGCAGTTAACACCAAGAAAGAACGTCACATATATGAAATCATTTACTCTCACAACAACCCTATGTAAGACACTATAATTCTCCCCATTTACGAGGAACAAAAGTTGGGAGAGGTTGGAAAAAACTTGCCCAAATGAGCATTTCTAAGGTACCATAACTTTGAACCCTATTCTGCCGCATATAGTAACATCATCACTAGCAAAACCGCGTTAGTGCAGACCCCTAATTTGGGTACTTTCATTCATTCTCTTTGATGACTCACATCTCTATAGTTTATAAACGAAACGAAACAGACTTAGAGGAACGTTCCCCAGGTGGAGCAAGTACCATACGAGGTGGCAGAGTCCGGGTTCGAGTCCGGCTGGCTCAGAATCCGAAGGCTCTTTTTACAGCACCCCACAACCCAGTTAAGACTCTCCCTTTAATCCCAACAAGTCGCGTTCCATCTCTGAGGGGGACAGAACTCTCTCACTCTAGCTTTGCGCCTCAGAGACACACTAGCTTAGGCGGCGTTCCAGCGTCCCCGAGTCTCCTAGCTCTCCCGGCCACCCCCGCAGGCCGGGCGGAGCTCTCACCGGGAGGGAGTCGGGGGACCGTCGCAATCTTGCCGGTGATCTCTGCAGTGAGCACGGCGAAGTCCTGCTCGTAGCCTTCGAAATCGGACGACATGGTGGCTCCAGAGGGATCGGCCTGGGTCGGAGCCTAGGTCAGGGCTGGGGTCAGCCGGGCAGCGAGCGCGTTGCAGGGACCCCAGGAGGCGCGCTCGAGAGCTGAGCGGAGAACCGGGGACAGCTCCCAGCCCGGCCGCTTCCTGGTTGTTCTTCACAATCTTGGTCCTCCGGAAATGGGGCTGAGAGCGCTTCTTATTTTCCGCTTGGGCTTCCTGATGAAGAATTTCACTAAGAAGCAGCAATTCTGTCTGGGCCTAAAAAACCCCAGTGATTACCTCGGTAATCACTGAAAAAAATATATGTTTTTGCTCCTTTACGTTCTGGAAAGCGTCTCCAGCGTCCCAAAGCACGGGTCACGGAACTTGCTTCCCGGGGGAAGCGTGAAGCAGCGAACCTTCCGGAAGTGGCTGTGCTGGAGACTGCGCAGGAACCTGGGCGGGGGAGCAGCTGCCTGGGCGCCGGCGGAGAGGCGAGCGGGTTGTGGCGGGTCGTGCACTCCAGCCTCTTGCAACCAGCACCTTCTGCTTGCTGTAGTGAGCTACTTTTGACCGAGCGATCCGAGGAGACGAAAACCTGTTCCGGGTGAGCCCAGGCCGCCCCGGAAATGCGATGGCTGAGGAGCGGGCTCCCGGGACCAAACTGAGGTGGGAGTCGAGGCAGGAGGTGTAACCACGATCTGGGCGGTTTTCGCCGCACGCGAAAGATGCCAGAATCGCCAAAGTGTTGAGATCAGCAACGCTTGCCAGGATTCCAAGTGAGGATTCCAAGCCCTTGGCGCTGAGACACGGGTTGGAAACTGAGGCACCAGGCAGAGGCATCAGTTGCCTGTGCATTCTGGGTCCTATTAGTTCAGAGCCTCTGCCCCGCGACTCGCTCCAGACCAGGCCGAAGTAGCTCTCTACAGATCTGTGCCTTTGCGGCTCTGCTTTCTTCCTGCCTGGCTGCTGCAGGCACTTCCTCTTTTTTCCGCTCCTTCCAGCCCCTCAGCCCTCAGCAGACGTTCTCATTCATGTTCATTCTCATGCGGCGCCTTCAGTCGTGATTTCACACTCTTCTTCTCGCCTCTTTGTCTTCTCCTTTCATTGCTTTCACGCAGGCACCTTTACCTTTGCCCCAAAAGACCTGATGTTGGTGTTTGGGGAGCAACCGCAGCCAGGTGATCTAGACCATGTCTGGTATTCAAGACTTCATTGGAGACTCAGCTTAGAACCCTGTAAAGTGAGTCTGGGTTCTTGGTTTATTATGGGTTCAGTTCTTACTTGTGACCTTGGTCTCCAGTTTTTTGTTGTTGTTATTTTCCCCTACAAAGAAGGAAGCCGTGTTAGATTAATCCTCAGGTCTTGCTTCCCGACCTGAAAGTCTTTCTCCTCAAATCATTCACTGAACATTGAACAGTCAAGTCTTCCACAAGTTGGGAACAAATGAATAACGACTATTTTAGACTCGCATGTACTTTTACAATCATTCAGGCTTGAATCCAATTTTGAATAAGATAAAAAGAGTTCTCTTTGGCATTGGACTGAACACCCAAAGTAATGCACTTGTGAGGTTGCTTTGCTTAGGTAATTACTACTATTAACAAATGTAGGATAATGAAGTGCTTTAGTGAACTTTCTCATTTTGTTTTCTTTAGATTGAGTTTCACACTAAAAGACTGGATTCTCCTAGTTATCATAAAGAGCTGTGCGTGCGTAACGCTGAAAATGGCATAATCTGCATTAACATCCGGCAGCTTGAAGGCATGACAGCTAAGGAGCACACGTGGACTTGGGGCACATGGAAATATGTGCACAGGAAAAGGAAATCTATAATTCTTTAAAAATAGGAAGACATTCTTCCTCACCAAAATGGGTACCTTCTGCTCAATTATCAAGTTTGAAAATCTCCAAGAATTAAAGAGACTGTGTCACTGGGGTCCCATTATCGCTCTTGGCGTTATAGCAATATGCTCGACCATGGCCATGATTGACTCTGTGGTATGGTATTGGCCCTTACATACAACTGGAGGAAGTGTGAATTTCATCATGTTGATAAATTGGACTGTCATGATTCTTTATAATTACTTCAATGCCATGTTTGTTGGTCCTGGCTTTGTCCCTCTGGGATGGAAACCGGTAAGAAAAAGATTCTTTACTACGATGACTCTAATGATGACCCTATATTAAGTTTTTGCCTACTCTGCCAACAAACAGGCTTTTTGCCTGGGTAGAAACTAAGTATATTTTTCTCATAGTTGATCCTCTGAAGGTCAAAGAATTTATTTCAAACCTGTCTGAAGACAGTGATCTAGGGTAACATTTCCTAAAGCAATTTCATTGAATATTTGTCTTGTACTTAAAAGAAGAGACAAACAGGGGGAAAGTCCATGGTTTATGGGTTTCAGAAACAGCATGTCATACACCGCTCTTAGAATTTCACAATGTGGTTTGGCATTAGGAACTTTTTTCATGTAATACATTAACAGCCTTCACACGTGAGAAAAACTCTTTAGAAACTGCTGGTTTAAATCATAAAGCTTTGAAGCCAAGCAGCCACACCATAGCATTGGAAAGTAGAGCATCAAACAATTATTCTCAGGCATGTTCAAGTTGGATAAACAGGAGCACAGTAGTTGAAGTGGGTACAGAGATGGGTAAGACACCATCCATACTCTGAAAAGTCTACCACTGAGGAGAGAACCAAAGGCATTTATGAAAATAAACTGGAGCGTGGAATGATGAGTGGGTGATGATGAAGTTGGAAGGAACTAAGCCTTTTCAGATGAAGACCTAAGGAATGGGCTGGGGGGTGTATGCAGGAAGTGGGGAAGAGGGCATTTCAGGGTGAGGGAATGGTGGGAGATGGAGTTGTGACACAGTGGACAGCCTGGTTTGACTGGAAAAGAAGATGTGATCCTGCAGATAAGCCTAAAAGACAGATCACAGAAGCCTCAAATACATGAGAAATTGTGAAATCATGGGGAATAATTAGAGGTTTTCAAGCAGAAATCTCACCCTTGTGTCATAAAAATACTATTCTGTGATATGTAGTTTGAATTAGAAACTACAGTGAAGAAGACTAGCTAAGAGGTCAGATGGCTCTGGAGGAGCGGGATTCGGAGGCTCAGCCCTGAGATACTTGCCCGTTCCTCAGGTGCCTTTCCTCTGTACTCTGCCCATTATGTCAAGATGCTGGATCTTAGTAGAATCAACGAATCCTTGCTCATACTGAATCTGGGTAGAGCCTGGAGAAGAGAAATTAAAGGTGACCTCTGGACACTTGGGAACTGACACTGCTGTTACCAGAAATTCATTATTTAAAAAGCGTAGCCCAAGGAAAGGGGCTGGAATTCAAATTAGGATTCCGTCCTTCCTGTTACTCAAAACAGTCACAACATCTGCTCATAGGCTGGAATCATCATTATTTATGTTCAGATATCTGATTATTTTGTTTCTATTTTGCTGTCAAGGAAAACTCTCAGGATAGCATGTACCTCCAGTTTTGTAAAGTCTGCCAAGCGTATAAGGCGCCACGGTCGCATCACTGCAGGAAGTGTAACAGGTACTGCGTGTCTTTGCTCTGTGTCGGGGGTGGAACCGCCTGATTACTGGTTTTTGTGGTTATATCTACTATGCCACTCCTAGTTTTATTAAAGATAATTTCAAAATATTTAAGTGTCTGTCATGTCCTATATAATTGGCACTCATTCTTTCTTTTAAGTGAAGGGAGAATTTTGTAGAAAAATATTGACTTAGCTTCATTCCCTGCCAAGAAAGAAGAGTGTAAAAAATTACACCTTCAAGTTGTCTCATAGGTCAGGATTAATGGTGCTTTTTAAACTGTCATTTCAGCTAACTTTAGAGCTGTCTGGGTTTAAATTACAAAGGAGACCTACTTTGTTCCTTATTTAGTTGACTGTTCTTTACAGTTTGTACAAATATAATAATTGAATCCAGGTGCCTAATATCAAATTAGAAACTTAATGGGAAGGAAAATAAATTGCTATAAAAAGTGTTAACTTAAGAACTTTTTTAAATTAACAATTCTATCCACTGATTAACAAGCACAGTGGTAATGGTGAGGTTTAGGGGAACCACTGATGGTGAGTAAGTGTACTATGAAGCCAGGAGGTTTTCTTCTAGCAACACTAAAAGGAAGTACCATGAGACTTTGCTTATTATACTCTGTATTCCAAAATTAGCTTACTTAGCCTAGGGATTCTACTTCTAAAGATGAGCACAGGAAGGAGGGAAGTTACAGGCATCTGGCAGGTCCCATCAACCCCCGTGGAGAGATATAAGTGACTGTTGAGTCTCGTTCTCCATATCGGTCGCTGCATTTCAGAGCAAAGGTAAACCAGGAGCTATGCTCATTTCTCTCCAGTGAACCTCTCAGTGGCCTCCTGACTTCTTGAAACAACCTTAAATTTAATTCATAGCAGATATCTTTTCCTCGGGAGCTGTTACAGACCCTGCCTGTGAATTTAAAGAAGTCCTGTTCAGAGTTGCTTAAAAGCTCATAGGCATCCGCTTTTCTGTTCATGAAATGTAACTCCCCAGTGACTCAGACATGCCTGCTTCTTTTTGCTTGATCATTTGAAGACCAAAGTCTGCATGTTTTCTGTACATTTTTTTTTCTTGCTAGGTGTGTGATGAAGATGGACCATCACTGTCCCTGGATCAACAACTGTTGTGGCTACCAAAACCATGCTTCCTTTACACTGTTCCTCCTGTTAGCACCGCTGGGCTGTGTTCATGCCGCCTTCATTTTTGTTATGACTATGTACACCCAGCTGTATAATCGGGTAAGTGAGGGTGTTTGTTATAAAGTCATTCATGCCGCGCTAAGTGGTTGTTACCAAGGTTATGTGAGAAGCCCCTTTTTGAATATAGTGGCTATGATTTAGGAGGGAGACAGGAAATTTTGCCTTGCCTTGTTAGGGATTCTTTTTACGAAAGCATTGAAATTTATTTTTTCAGATGCTGATGGATTGTTTTGTTTGGTAACTCACCATATGTGCTCTAGTTGAAGTCAATAATTATTTTAGTACTGTGTATATAATCTAATGGCTTTCAAACTTGGCAGCTGTGCTAAGAATAGTTAGAAAAACAAAGTACCTGGGAGAGGTAGCACCGGTGCTTTCTGTTTTAACCTCATGGTGTGGCTAGTTACTCTGGTGTTTGTTTCTAACTCCAACGCCCTGGAGGGTGACTTGTGGAGGAGCAGTGGTCCAAGATATCCAGCAGGAGGTGAGTGACTCATGGGCAAGTGGTCATGAGCTCAAGTCCGAGGCCTCACAAAGTCAAGTCCCTCAGCAAACCCAGAAAGTAAATGAAGGACACAGGCCTGATGGGGCAGTGCAACTGGGGAAGACACGTCCTTCACAGAGTGGACGAGCACATTCAACTTCAACCAGTTTGTGGTGCTAATCTTCTGTTTTTGGTGGGTTTTTTTTTTTTTGAGAAAAATAATGAATTTTTAAAATACGAAATCTAATTTTTAAATGGTGTCACCTAGTGGAATATATATTTTAAAATATTGTAGGCCATACTTGTCTTGCATTTTGCCAGTTTTTAACTCTGGATGTGGCCTGTGAGGGAAGACACAACTGACGCCATGCTCTTTTGTTGCTGTGGAAGATTGCTGTAAACATAGCCCTGGAAATATCCTCCTGTAAATGTGGCAAAGCAAGGATCAGGGAGACACACTTCATTTAGAGTGGAGTCTGGTGTCGTCACGCAGATTGTTTGTGGAGTCTGCCTAACCCTTTCTAAGGAAACACTATCAAACCATACGTGACAGTGGAGAATCACTAAGTGATGTGGCGCAGAACAGTCCGCGCTCTGGGAACAGCTCTAACTGCTCTGGCCATGGTGTCAAGTTGTCCCGCGCCGACCTTCTTACCAGGTTGTAGGAGTGTTGCAGTAGGTGCCGGCCACTTACAACGACCAAGTAGTTGAGTGTGTGCTGTCGTTTTTGTAGCTCTCCTTTGGGTGGAACACAGTAAAGATTGACATGAGCGCTGCCCGGAGAGACCGTCTTCCAGTTATTCCCTTTGGATTAGCTGCATTTGCTGCCACCTTGTTTGCCTTGGGATTAGCATTAGGAACAACAATAGCAGTTGGAATGTTGTTTTTTATCCAGGTAAGTTCCTCTGTTCCGCTTGTCTTCAGCCTAATGTTGTCAGATCATTGGGGCTAATTGTAATGAGGACGTGATAAGGGCTGCATTTAAGTGTTCACATGAAATAAAAGTTATTGTTACTTGTTCCATCTAGTTAATCTCCTCTGGCTTAGATAATTTTCAAGTAACTTTGCCAGAACTTTTAGGTAATTGATGTAATTTCTAAAATGTTGCCTGAGAGCTAGATGGCACTAAATTAAGAAAACTCTCCTCTCACTTACAGTTTCTTTGATCTTCACATCAATCCCAAAAGAGGTTGAAAAGGAACATTATTTTCTCTTCCTTTCAGGTGAATAATTGAGTCACTGAAAGATAAAGAGATGTACCCAAAATCATCCATTTGCTTATACAGAAAGTGTAACATTGTTGTTTTGTGATAACACATGTTTAATCATAACAATATAGCTGACATGTATCGAGTGCCTTTGTGCAAGACCCTGTCTAGGGATTTTTCATGATCTCATTTACTTTCCACAACAACTGGTTGATGTAGATGGCATTTAGTGCCTATGATTTGATGCATTACTCTGAGGCTACATTTATGAAGAGGGCTGTGGCCTCTGAGAATGCACAATCCGCAGTCAACTGTTGCCTGATAGAGGGTCATGTGTCTATCACTGAGTCCCGGGCAGAGTGCTCCGAGAATACGCAGGGTGAGGACTGAGCCCCTCTTTAAAGGCCAGATGTGGGTGGGGTATTGTGTGAGGCCCTTGGGATATGACAACGACTCCTAGTCCAGGACTGTCTTTCCTGTGTTACAAACCTCTGAAGGGACAGCCAGACTTCGAGAAGCAGAACTCATAGAATTAGGCTACTTCCTATGAGGGCCTGAAGCATCACCCAACCCTGTTTTGAACTCTTGGTTTTAACATCAGCTCACTTTGGTTATTACACTAAATGTTTCTGCCAGCTTGGGATCAAATTCTTTGAATTTTCCCCCGATGCCTATAATTAAAAATCATATTAGAAATATACTAAAATACTGTGGTTTAAGCAAGCAGAATATCTAAGTTGACTGAAATGATTCATTATTACTTGCAAAAGAGTAGTCATAAATATAAGATTCATTAAAAATAGCAATATTTTAACGGCAAAATACGATATTTTATTAATATCTGAAAACCTTGGTCACAAGAATATACTTAAAATATGAATGCTTACTAAACTAGATTCAGATTTTATTATGATTTATTATGAAGAGGTTTTGTAGTGCAGTGTTAAGAACAATGGTTTTAGTCTTACTTGACCTCCATTGTCATTTTATCTTCATCTGTGGGATGGAGCAATAGGGTTAGTGTAAAGATAAGCTTAAAGGAACCAAAGTCATATTATAAAATTTTTCTATCACTTAATTTCCAGATGAACATAATTCTCAGAAACAAAACTTCTATTGAATCATGGATTGAAGAGAAGGTAAATTTTATAATTTGTTTCCTCAATATCGATAAAATGATTAGTCATTAGACCAGATTAACTAATAAATACCTAAAAGTGAAAACATGGCTGGCAAATGGCTTCCTGAGGTCACTTACCTACCATAGAAAGGATGAGTATAGGAATGATTTTGATTCATGTTTTGCTTCATGTAACTCCCACAGAAATTTACTCGTCATACACAGAGAGTTGCGATGAGACCTAACCCGCACATCCTCGTTCACCAGTCCATTTGGAAGGGGACGTCCATCCTAGCAAGGTCCCTGCACATTTCCTTAGTGCTTAGACATCCGTCAGATAGGGTTGTACCTACATGGAGCCAGCCAGGACCCTGAGCTGTCAGATAGGGAACCCTCTTCCAGATTGTGAGAACATTTATCTTCTGAAAAGAAAGAGCTCTGGGTTCCTTTGACACATGCTTTTATTTTAAAGTGTTAGCAAATAATTCGAGTTAAACACAAATAAAAGTTTTTGTGGATCTTGTCACACCCCTCTCTTAGACAAGCATAGCTGCCTGGCTTTAATTTATAGCAGCAGCTCTCCAACTCGTTGGCCTTAAAAAAAATACACAAAAATTGTTAGGGACACTGAAGTACTTCTGATAACATGTATAACATCTACTGATATTGCCATCTGACTGACAAGGCTTTTGAGATAACATTCCTTCATTTAAAAATAACAGTAGTGGGGGCCCTCCCTGGTGGCACAGTGGGTTAAAGCACTGCACTAAGAAGCTAAAGCCACTTCCGCATGAGTCCGATCCCCGCCTGCCCTGGAGGTGACCACATCGCGTGGCAGACCCCTCCTGACCCGCCCGCTGCGCCCCTCAGCAGTGTGCTTCATCTATCTGCCTGTTCTGCTCCCCTCTGGGTGTGTGGTGAATCCTTTCACCGTCCCTGAACCTCTGACCTGTACCCAGTTCTGTATCCATAAATAAATAAATCTTTAAAAAAAAAAATTAACAGTAGCGAACACATTCTATGTTAGTAAAGTAACAAATTTTTTGAAAAGCAATATTTTCCAAAATAAAAGTCAGTGTTTTATATTTTTACAATCTCTTTAATATCTGACTTAACAGCAAACATTTGGATTCTCACACCTACTTCTGCATTCAATCTGTTGATATTTTGCTTTGAAGAATATCCATCTTCACACAGATAAGTAGGTAGCAAAGAGTTTTTTTTTTAATGATTTATTTATTCATACAGAACTGGGGTACAGGCCAGAGATGTGGAGGGTGAGAGGATTCATCAGAGACAGAGCGGGGAGCAGAACAGGCAGATTCAGGAAGTACACTGCTGAGGGGAGCAGCTGGCGGGTCAGGAGAGGTCTACCGCGCCATGTGGTCACCTCCAGGGCAGGCGGGAATCGAACTCATGCGGAAGTGGCTTAAGCTTCTTAGTGCTGTGCTTCAACCCGCTGTGCCACCAGGGAGGGCCGCAAAGAGTATTTTAATTGACCTTTTAAAAGTGACTGGGCGTTTTTGGAAACTACATTAAAACATGGCAGCTGGTGGTTCCTGAAAGGTTAGTTGCACGTGAGACCTAAAATTCTCTCAGGAAACTTTTTGTATCCTTTCAGGTTTAGTCATCAGTCCATCTAGACTTTCGAACTGGTCTTTTACCCATACATGCTTTTAATAACCTCAGGTTTTGGTCACTTTTAAAGTATCGACTTACAAGGTTCTACAAATGTTCCAACTACTGACATGTTCATTATATAAAATACCTAAAAATTGTATTCATTTGTAACTGCCAGTTTTATGAGAAGAACCTTTAAATATTGGAAAGCTGTCAAGTTCATAATGGTGGATTCAAAATTTCCAAAATCTAATTTTTACTTGAAAGCCTCGATTTTTTTTTTCTCCCACTGGCAACAAGTACTCTGTTATTTACATTGAAATGACAGTCTGACTTTATTTTTGAGAAAATGTGTGCCAAAAACTGAAGTCTGAATAATCTTAGTTTGTCTGCTACATTATTCATTCTTTCAAGTAAAAATAGTGTTAAGTGAAAAACTAGCTCACAAATCCAACAAGTGTTTTCCTTGTGATAAGAATGTTGACATGCATTTTGTCTCTAAGAATATTAAAGAGACATCTACCTGATTTAATAAAAATGAAATATTTTCATTGCTTCATCAAGAACATTGATGATGAACATCTCATGATGAACTGGTATTGTTTTGTTTGAGGTTTGATTTTGCACTATGACTGTGTAGTGGCAAAGAATTAATAATTACTAATAGTTTGGTGTTGCCATAATTTTACCTGCCCCTTCACTCTCCCTCGCCCCATTGTATATGTCAATGCAGTGAAAAAGACAAAAAAAACTTATGAAAGATGTTTGATTTCATTGAACCCCAAGATATAATTTCTTGCAGACTCAGAGTTCTGCAAAGCATGCTCTCAAGTCCAAGGTCCTTAGCTCAGCTAAGACCTTCCTTGTCTTCCTCTTATCTGTGCATTTCTTACCTGTCCTTGCTCCATGTTATACTTATTACCTACTGAAACAAACTGCCCATAGTTTTCTTATCTTTGCATATGGTGATCCCCTACACCTCTTTCCTGCCTGATTTCTTACCCTTCAAGACTTTGGGTGTCATTTCCTCTAGACTTGATTAAGGACTCTTATTCCTGTTTACCTTGGCATCCCTGCACACCTCTGCCTCCTTTCAACAGTGTATTGAGAGGACCCCTTCCCCCCAACTTCATTGAGTGCTTCTCTTAGGCAAAGCCCATACTGCACTCATTCCTGTAAACTTCTCTTATCCCTGAGACCCTTAATCCATTTGGAAGACTCTGAATCTTTCATTTGTATAAAAAAAGGAAAAGAAATTATCCTTTAGTATCTGGACGGCAACAGATTTGTACAGTTCAGGAGATTTACACATGGTAAAGCCTGGCAGTTTTTTTAAATTTAATAAATGCCAATATTATAATTAACTGCAAAAAACTTTACTTACAATACTGCCTCCTGATAATAAAGTCGTTTGAGGTCTCATTTCTAGCATAATGTCTTTACATTGTTTTTCACTAATGAGCAAGGCTCTTTAGAGTGCCATGCTAAATCTGGAAGTTATTTTAAAACTAGTGCTCTATGGTGAGTAAAAACTTAAATAAATGATCACGTTAAGTTTGTAGGAAGTGTGTTGAAATTACCAGATATGAAAATAACAATCAACTGGGTTTTATTATTGCAAGAATATTATTGTTTATACCACTAGGTGTCAGTGTAACTTAAGAAATTCTAAGTCAGATCAAGTTAAAGCTAACAATTTTAAGGCCATTTATGCTATTCATAAATATCTGTATGTATAATGTGTACGTGTAAATGCTTAAATAATGAGTATTCATGTGGGGGGCGGGGCTACAAAAAGTAGAAAGAACTCCTGCACTTTCCTATTAGCTTTTAAAGAACGGTGATCTTCTTAAAGTGATGATTTCACTGCCCCGTCTATCCTGGCGGTTACCACAGGTGCCGTTAACACTCAGGAGAAAGCTGCTGCACCCTAGTGCACCCATCTCCAGCCCCCTCCTTTTTCAGTAAGCCGCTTTCTCTCAACTGTCTGCTTGGCAACATCTCTTCTTCACACCTGGATTGTTTTTCTCTTAAACCAGTGGCGGCTTGCAACTTATTTCTTTTACCTGAATAAAGTCACTAGGCTCCTTTTATAAACACTTTTGAGACCTGTTATCTGTTCAGGCATTTTTCTGGCAGATCTCATAGCAGGCTGATGACACAAGTCTCTCTGTGTGATGCCTCTGACTCTGCTGTGAACATTGCAACAAGGAGGAGGCATTTCTGTGAATGACACAAACTTAAGGAATGGACCTTGTCAGTAGTGTGTTGTTAAAGTCCACTGAAGGGAGGGGCAGCTGCCAACATCTGTCTTTGTTACCTGCAGGCCAAAGATCGAATTCAGTATTATCAACTAGATGAAGTCTTTGTTTTTCCTTATGATATGGGCAGTAAATGGAAGAACTTCAAACAGGTATTTACATGGTCAGGGGTCCCTGAAGGAGACGGACTGGAGTGGCCAGTAAGAGAAGATTGTCATCAGTATAGCTTAACTGTGAGTATTTCTGTTCAAAAAGACCTTCCTGCTCACCTCATCTGCTTCCCCTTAACTCAGATGACATTTTTTTTTTGTAATTTTTTTTTTAAAGTTTATTTGTACATCATTTTGCACATTTTTTTTT